CGGGAGATTCGGGACTTTTCCCGTGGGCCGCTGTCGTTGGTGGGCTGCTGCCTTATTCGGTGGGCCGCTGGCTCTGGCATAGGCCGCCGCAAACACCCGCCACCGCAAACACCCACCGCCGCAAACACCCGCCGTTGCGAGGCTCCGGCGTTGTGAAAGTCCACCGCCGTTGCGAGTCTTCAGCTGTAACAGTCCACCACCGCCCGCGAGGACCCAGGTTCGATTCCGGCCTGAGGTCCAAAAAATTCATAAAAACATAATCTCCCGTTCATCGCGTCTATTCGCGACCCACCTATCAGATCTCTGCGCCCCACCAGTGGGTCGGGCCCCACACTTTGAGAAACGCTGCCTGAAGGGAACTTTTCTTGATCTCTTCATACCTGATGCAGTTTGAGGGACATGCGCACTCCTGGAGCCACGACTCGGTTCAGCAGGTCCATATCTGCAAACACCCATTCATCCCTGGGAGACGTGATGCGAAAGTCTCCCTTGAAGAGGGCATGGAGGCCGTAGAGAAATGGCTCCAAGCTGTCAAAAGGATAAACAACAACTCTTTTATATCGGGCAGTGACAGGGGGTATTATCCACGGAGACAAGCGGGGGGGTGGGACCTTACCTTGCAGACATGCTGTGGGAAGCCGTGCCCAGAGCTCGTCTTCCCAGGATACACAGCCCAAAACACAGGTTGACGAGTGGAGAATCTCTTTCACAAGTCACCGGCTAACACAAAATGGAAATACTAATTAATTATAACAGTGTATATTTTTGTTCTACAATTACTACAACAAATTGTTAAACATGTATTCTGATAACAAGTTATACTAAAGATAACATTTGTGTAAACCCTAGATTCTAGAGTAACTGTTGTTGAGAGTCTAACCGTTTGCCGCCTGCTGTTGCAGTACTGAATCCAGTCCAGGTAAACCATGCAGAACGAGGAGAGGGTGATGCCAGAGGCCCGGTGGTCGTAGTCCTCATCGATGTTCAGGTTGAAGGTGGGGTCACTGTCCACGTAGTTGGGACCGAGACACGGCCGCAGAGCCTCCTGAACCGTCTCATTGGTCAGCCACTCTTCCATCTTAGCAGAGCGACTCACGTAGTAGATGATGCTCTGTTGAAGGAGACAAACGATCAGACTGTAACTTTGATTCAAAAGGAATGAAATGTCTAGATGCACATTTTACATTGTTATAATAGTTATGCTAAAGCAATGTGAATAGTAAATAATTATATACATTGTTTGTGTAGACAAAGGGAAATTCAGCCATTTCAAGTGTTAGCAAAAACATTGAATTAACCCTTAGATGCATAAGTAGGTCTTTGTTGACCCGGTGAGTTGGTTTTCTTGAAGTATCTTTGTAATTACATTTTTTTATCATTTCATATTCCAGCTATTCCTTAAAAAACATGTTTTGGATATCATGCCATTCACATTTTAAATTTACATTTTAAGAAATTGTGGTTTTTGTATTACTACCCCGAGCTTCCATAAGTGGGTTAAAAATGACCCGCATGCAGTTTCTATGGAATCCTACGGGACAACGTTTTTTTCAAAAAGTAATTTTTTTTCCTAAAATTATAAATAGTGAAAAATTAAATATAAAATATTTCTAGTGTGAACCAAAATATAATACTAAATATTATACAAGTGATTTCTCTTAACCAAAATGACAAAAATTGCATAAAAACACATATTATTCAAATACGGGTCCTTTTCGACCCACTTATGGAAGAGTGTAGGGTCCAGCCACTCTAAGGGCATCTAAGGGTTAAAGTTGACCTGGCTTTATAATGATATAACAGATGTGGAAATGCCAAATAA